CCCCAAAACCCCAAAACCCCAAAACCCCAAAACCCCAAAACCCCAAAACCCCTTTTGATAAGATACATTTTTTTAATTCTTATAATTAGATGTAGGCATGTATTTTAAAAAGATTTTTCTTGGCACTCATGGTAACTGCGAAAATAGTGTCATATTGTAGCACTGGAGGCTTCTGCAAGATTCTCTTTAGAATCTTGCTGACTGTCATCTTGTCTCTTCCAATCTTGACTAGTCCTTCCTTCACTGTGGCGGCTCTCTTGTTGTCTCTTTCAGGGGCATTTTCCCAGTGATCATAGTTCGTTTGATAAATGGCCCAGTCTGATTGTGAGTCTGGATTTATAGGCCAAAGATCCTTAGCACCAGTCCTATCTCTTGTGATCACGACTCCTTCATCAATCTCGACTCCAGAAAGAGTGAAATAGCATATAGAGGTGATCGGCATGTTCATCAGCATATCTTTAGCTTCTTCAAATGTATTTGCATGCTCTCCAACATAAATCAACAACGAACCGGGGTTATAAGACTCCATAAACCACCTTGAAAGACTGTTGGCTAGACCTGGCAGATCGTTATGGTATCTAGCATTAATAGACACAGCAAAGGCTCCTGGTTTCATGATGGTATAGGAGTTGGTAGATCCTCCTGTGCCAACACCTTTGAACACAAGCTCACCATTTTTAACAAAATCGATGTCAAATGTATCATTCCTCATAGACTCATAAATGGGGTAATCAAGATTTCGCGCATGCACGATGCTATCAGTCTTGTCAATAGCAACGATTGAGGTTCAATGAGCAAACAACTCATATACAAAGTTAGCCGTAAGCACATCTGCAAGTGGAATTCCTGTAATATCAGATACTCCTTCAAATTCTCTAAACAGTTGATGGTTTAGTTCACCTAGTCCTGTCGTTTTTGGAGAAAAGACTTCCATGTACTTTGTGACCATCCAGAATATAGACCTAATACTCCAAGGCACAAAGGATATGATAGTCTCGTGTAGCTTAATAATTTGTTCTTTGAAGTATATAGTGGGTTCACTCCATCTGGTATAGGGATCTTCTTCTAGATCTATTTCGAATTTTGGAATTTTTAAACTCTTGGGACCACCCTATTTCAAAATTAGAATTGAGCAAACTTACCCCTGAAATCATTTCTTGCTCCTTCATGGTACGAGAAATAAATGTTTCTCGGATTCCTTCAAGGTTGATAAGCTCAGCTTGAGCTATCATGCAAAAAGAGACTAAAGTCACTAAAATCAGAATTTTCATATTTAAATTTATTTGCCACGTAAGTTTTTATGAGGTGGCAACGGGGTTTTGGGGTTTTGGGGTTTTGGGGTTTTTGGGG